AGCCCCCGGTAGTCCCCACACATCCTCCTTGCTGACACTTCCCCGGTGAGATCCTTCCGCGCAGCTACCACGGTTGCCGCCGCGTAATCACTGTCCGAGATCTGAATGAGGCCTGCCGCTAACAGCTCGGTGCATTTCTCCCGACAGATGTCCAAGTCGCCTGGGCTCGTTCTCCGTTTCCTCTGGTATATGGGCATCTCCGTAGTCAACTTCACTTGCATTTGGTGAGAGTTGCATTGCCCCAGCTCGGCTAACGTGTAGGCGAACGTCTTCCGGTGCTGCTTCAGCACCTCCTGTAATGCCTGTGCCGCCTCTGCCCCCATTCCGGTGCCTATGGGCCAGGCGTCTTCAGGGCCCCTCTCCTGGTTTGGCTTCTCTGCTGTGACGCTTTTTTCCCCGTCGGACGGCAGTACCCCTTGAGTGCACACTCCTTCCCGCGCTTCCACCGCCATATAGGCCCACCCTTCCTGGATGCGTGCCTCTTGTTGTTCCTCTATTGCCCTCAGTTGGCGCTTCCGCTGCTCCGCTTCCTCTCCCTCCTGGTACAGCTCGCTAACTTCTATACCGCGTTGGAGCTCCTTCCGCTTCAGATGCATGCGGATGGTCTCCACTAGCCAGGTCATGACATTCAGATCCAGGGCCCGGCCCAGCGCAGCCCTCCTTTGTGGCTCCGTCACTCGGGGGTGAGCGGTAGCTCCCAGTTGATGCCCCATGGCTAACTCCCGCTCCTCTGCCGTGGGTTGCTCCCATCTCTTCCCGATGACGTCGTAGATCATCCCGGGTCCAGGCAGGTCTCCCTCCATCACGAATCCGTAGGCGTCAACGTAGGACACGAGTGTCGGCAGCGCCTGCCTCGGCTTCCCCGGCACGTTGCATTGATATTGGGACGGATGATCCGGCGCCGTGACAGGCGCGGACAGACGATTGGGGCCCAGGATGTCGCTAACCAGCCTAGGTTCCGGCCGCTGCATCTGAGCCAGAGCGTGACGTAAGCCTGCTTCCGAGATCCCGTTCTGCCAATACCTCCTGGGCCGATGTGCTCTAGAACCCAGCTGCGCCACGTCAACTGCCTGCCCCCGGCCGACGGCGGCTTCTACTTCTACGAACGCTCTCCGCACGTGCTCCCTGCGATCCTCTGCGAAATCCACGTTTTCCAGGGTGTACAGTACTTCTCCCTGCTTTGCCTGGACCATCTCCAGTACCCGCTTTAGGTCCCTGAAGGAGGCCCCGCGGATGTCTTCCATTCCCATCCCTTCTCCCGCGCGAGAATAACCCTGACATTCCCATCCAGCAATGATGACATCAATTTGCCCCCACTTCTCCAATTTCTCCTCCGTGATCTCCCTTACATCGTCTACCACCTCCTCATCTTTGGCGGGTAGGGCGGACTCGGCCAGCTGATCGGGATATTCTTCAAGCAACAGTAGGGCGTGATGCTGGGCCATCCGTCGCACCACAGGATCCCTCTCGACGTGAATCCACTTCCGTACTCTGCAGCCCGCGCGCAACACCGCTGCCAGTCCCGTGCCTAGGCCGCCGTACAGCTCCATGATGCACACTGCTCCTTCAAGGGTCCAGAGCCGGGTCACCCTTTCCCTCAGCGAGGTCGGTTCTCTCCCTTGCCTCCTCCTTTCTATCCGCAGTTCGTACTCCTCCGCGTATCTCTCCCAGCTCCAGTCATCAAGCACCGGGCCCAAGTCTGCTGCCCGAGCCCCGTATGCCTCTCGCGGCTCTTGCTTAACGAACTTCACGGGCAGAGTACCCACCGAACTTTCTGGGTCCCAGTAGTGCACGCGGTACAGCACCTTCTCTTGCCAGGTGCATATGGTAGCGTCGACCCGGTAAAGCAGATCCGTACCGACCAGTGCATCGTAGTCTTCGGACTCCGACACTCCACATGTCACGCGAATGCAGCATTCTTTCTCAGTCCCGGGGAGCAGTACGATCTCGATTGGCCGTACCGTCCGCGGCATCCATTTTGGTGTTACAATGTAATGAATTGATAGAAAATGTGAAGTGCAACCCTAGATATAGCAAACCCTAACCATGCAAGGAAGTAGAAATGTAACACCTAGACTAACCTAAACAACACATATAAAATATATGTTGACACACCCCCATAGTCTAGGTGACGGTAACCCCATGGAAGTCAACACATATCCCAGGGTGGGTCTCAAGGACACACAAAGTCTGAGAGCAAACAAGGGTCACATGACCAGTCAGCAAGAACAAGAACAAGCAAGGGTCACAAGACCAGTCCTCAAGAACAAGACAAATCTCAGGGTGGAGCTCAAAGTCACCACACACTCCGAGAGCAAGCAAAAGAGCCACAAGGCCAGTTCACATGCAGGTATATAGCAAATATATTGAGATGCAAGACTACAAGACAATAAGAACAAAGCATCTACGTAAGCAAGTGAGGACGGGCCCGCACAAGGTTAAGTTGGGTGCAGAAACGCTGGTGATCACAAGGCGGCAGCGCCTTGGTGAAGATATATGCAGTGTTGGCCTCAGAGACCACACGTCGTACGAGTACCTGGCCACGCCGCTGCAACTCACGCAGAAGGAAGTAACGAAGCTGGATGTGCTTCGCCTTCCCAACCAGTCGGGGCTCCTCACACAACAGGACGGCAGACTTGTTGTCGGCGAACAAGACTGGGGGACAGCGAAAGGTGCACATGGATGCTGCCAAGAGGGTACTACGCTACTTGTGCAGTACATCGGGCATGGGGCTCGTGCTTGGAGGACGGGGTGACGTTGTCCTCCGTCGTCTCTACCACCGCCTGACTCCGTGCTTCGCCAGGTTCTTAGCCTCCCGTCGTCTACTGGTCTTCCGTTACAGCCTGGCTCACCTCTGCCTGCTCCTTCTCCTTACGCTGAGCAGACAGGGGGCCTTACTGAGCGTCGTGAGCCTGCGTCGCGTCCTGTCTCACCTGTCCGTTCTGGTCGTTCCAGTCGTCGTGTTCCTCGTCAGCGTCAGCCGGCTGTCCCCGGCCCTTCCCTTGTAGTCCGTCGTCCTTCCTCTCCTCCGCAGAGTGTTCCTCTGCCATCTCCTCCTGCGTCTTCTCTGCCTGTCGTTGCGGACCCTGAGTCTGACCAGTTTTGTACTGAGCACCCTACTGTCACGCGTCTGCTAGCCACTGTTGTCACTGACCCGTCGTTTGAGTCCACTGCTACGTCTGCCCTAGTCGCTGAGCTTGTCGACTTTGCTGCTGCCTGTCGTCTAGACTACGCTGCTAGTCTTGTTGCTGAGTCTGAGTCTGTCTGTCCTCCGTCCGTCGGGGGTGAGTGTGCTCTTAGCACGGACGTCCTTGAGGACAGGCACGAGGACCTTGAGTGTCTTGCGGCCGCTGCGCCTCATCTCGTGGCCATGCTGCTTGCCCCTGAGGGAGACCCGGATGCACCAGACATCCCCACCCCGCGCTCTTACGCTGAGGCGATCGCGGGTGAGTACTCCTCTCAGTGGCAGACAGCCATGGACGCAGAGATGGCATCCTGGAAGTTCACAGGCACGTACGTCGACGACGTTCCCCCTCATGGGGCGAACATCGTCAGTGGCATGTGGATCTTCAGGGTGAAGCGGCCGCCAGGTTCTCCGCCTGTCTTCAAGGCTCGTTACGTTGCTCGAGGTTTCAGTCAGCGAGAGGGAGTTGACTTCTTCCAGACTTTCTACACAGGGGTACTCCTTTAGCCTCGGGGCAGGCGGTGTTTCGTGGCGGTCGACTCGGGCGTCGTCCGTCGCCGGTTCCAGCTGTGAGGCAGAGGTGTACGCTGCGGCCATGGCCGCTCAGGAGCTTTGCTGGCTGTCTTTCCTTCTCATCGACCGCGTGGACGACAATCGACGGGCTCGAGTACATGTTGCCGATGAGATGTCAATGGCGACCAACAATGTTCATTACACTACACAGGAATCCACGTGCCATTATTCCTGACCCTGGAAGGGAGCAGCACTGTGTCCACAGCGTGGACGACAATCGACGGGCTCGAGTACATGTTGCCGATGAGGACGCGCGCTCCCTCCGTGTCATTGGTTCTGAAAAGCCTCAGCAAGCGGTCGGTTTGATTCTTCTTCAGCGGAAGCTTATTCAGGGTTTCCATCTGTAGACAAAGTTGCAGGGTAGAGGGATAAAAGCGGAGATGAGTGTATGGAGGATGTGATTGGGGAAGAGAGGTGGAGGTCAAGGTGGGAGGAGGAGGGTGTAGAAGAAGATTATGTAGGAAAAAAGAAGGAAAAAATATTAGACTTACCTGGAATCCATTCCCAAGGGCCTTGATGTCGTTGAGTTCCATTCGACGTGGCAGCACGTGGCCATCACCTGCCAGAGAACACTCTTCTTCCTTTGCAGTCCACCAAAGCGCGTATTACTGGGCATGCGGAAATACGCTCCATTGGTTGGCGCTAAGATCGTGACGTTCTTGGTGAGGAGTGTATTCATCAGCGTCTCATTCATACCTGGGGTTACACGGAACAGAACGTAGATGTTTAAGATGACGTCATTTGCACAAACAAACAAAAAAATGAACTTGAAGTAAATGCGATACCACATGGGTTCAGCAAATGAGAAGCAGTACCCGACATGAGCAACAGAAGTGCAATGCGATATTTATATACCCAAAAACTGATAGAAGTTGTAACTCACCGCTCATTCTGATTCCGGTCGCAACTCCCGTGAATTTCCGCTCGTATAGAAACGCCAGAACCTCGTTCACTTTCGCCAGCGTTGCCTGCTGCTCCGCTGTCAGATTGGACCCCGATGCTCCTCCTGACGCTCCACCTGATGTACCACCTGACTTTCTACCTGGCCATCCCCCTGACCCTCTGCCTAATCCTCCACCTGACGCTCCGCCTGGCGCCCCACCTTCGGAGTCTGCTGCACCACCTGAAGCTCCACATGGAGCTCCACCTGAAGTTCCACCTGACGCTCCACCTGAAGTTCCACCTGACACTCCACCTGAAGCTCCGCCTGAAGCTCCGCCTGAAGCTCCGCCTGAAGCTCCACCTAACGCTCCACCTGATGCTCCACCTGCTCCGCCTGATGCTCCACCTGACCCTCCACCTGAAGCTCCAACTGACTCTCCGCCTCCGGAGCCCGGTGCACCGCCTTCATTCTTACTTCCCCCCCCTCCACTCGCTTGCCCTCCGCTCGCTTGCCCTCCGCTCGCTTGCCCTCCACTCGCTTGCCCTCCACTCGCTTGCCCTCCACTCGCTTGCCCTCCGCTCGCTTGCCCTCCGCTCGCTTGCCCTCCACTCGCTTGCCCTCCACTCGCTTGCCCTCCGCTCGCTTGCCCTCCACTCGCTTGCCCTCCGCTCGCTTGCCCTCCGCTCGCTTGCCCTCCACTCGCTTGCCCTCCGCTCGCTTGCCCTCCGCTCGCTTGCCCTCCACTCGCTTGCCCTCCACTCGCTTGCCCTCCACTCGCTTGCCCTCCACTCGCTTGCCCTCCACTGCCGTCGGTCAGGTTTCCCCCACCCCCACTTCCCGCGTGCCCTCCAGTGCCTCCTCCACCCTCCGTCCCACTTCCCCTTCCACCCACCCAGTCACTCCCCAGTCCACTTCCTGTATCACTCTTCCCTCCGCTTCCCGTGTCACTCCCCCCTGTGCTTCCCGTGTCACTCCCCCATCCGCTTCCCGGGTCACTCTTCAGTCCACTTCCCGTGTCACTTCCCCCTCCGCTTCCCGTGTCACTTCCCCCTCCGCTTCCCGTGTCACTTCCCCCTCTGGCTCCCGTGTCACTCTTTCCTCCACTTTCTGTGTCACTTCCCCCTCTGGCTCCCGTGTCACTCTTTCCTCCACTTTCTGTGTCACCCCCCCATCCACTTCCCGGGTCACTCTTCAGTCCATTTCCCATGTCAATCCCCCCTCCGCTCCCCGTGTCACTCCCCCTTCCACTCCCCATGTCACTCTCCCCTCCGCTCTTCATGTCACTCCCCCCACTGCTCCCCTCTCCGCTTCCCCCTACGCTTTCCCCTCCATTCACCCCTCCGCTTGCCCCTCCGCTCGCCCCTCCGCTTGCCCCTCCGCTCGCCCCTCCGCTCGACCCTTCGCCTCCCATCCCCTTGGGGCTGACGGGCAACCTCAAGCACATGGAGCGCCGCTACGCCTGGCTGCAGCACATGGTGAGGCGCGGGAAGTTCGTGCAGAAGTACATCCCGACCACCGAGCAGCCGGCGAACTTCCTGACAAAGGCGCTGCATTTTCCGGCTTTCAACAGGTGCTCTGTCGCCATCGGCCAAGTTCGTCTGGCCGACGTCGGCGACGGCGACGACGAGGTGCAGTAGTAGGTGCCGTGCCCTTCTGCACGGCTGGTGCGGTGACGGCGTGCTGTGTGTGGGGTGCACGCCGAGGACGAGTTTTCTCCGTGGAGTACTGCCGTGTGGGCTGGAGGCCCAAGCGTGAGCGCGGCAGGGGAGTGTTAACGGGAATGGAGTGTTGGCCCCGCCCTCGCTTGGGCAACGCCGACGACTTGGTCGGATGTACGGTAGTAGCAGCCGACCGTTCACAGTGGGAGAGCTGCTCGACAGGCATCGTCGAGCTGCAGGGGACCGCTGTGGTGCTGTTGTCGACCAGGGAGCCCGACAGCTGCAACTGACTGATCTGGGCGACGGGTGGGCCGTCGACCAGGAGGGGCAGTTCGACCGGGAGGTCTCCGTCGACCTGCAGCTCGACCAGGGGGTCTCCGTCGACCTGCAGCTCGACCAGGGGGTCTCCGTCGACCTGCAGCTCGACCGGGAGCAGTCCGTCGACCTACAGCTCGACCGGGAGCAGTCCGTCGACCTGCAGCTCGACTGGGAGCAGCCCGTGGACCTGCAGTTCGACTGGGAGGTCGACGGAGCAGTCCGACGACCTGGCAAGTGAGCAGCGGTCGACGAGGGGAGCTCGGCGACAACCGCTGACTGTTTCGGTCGACGGAAGGGGTCCGTCGACCAGAGGGTAGCTCGACGGGAGCTGTGGTCGACCAGGGGCGCCTGGTGGTCGACCAGAGGGACCTGGTGGTCGACCAGAAGCAGTGGTGGTCGACCAGTAGCACCTGGTGGTCGACCGGGTCGACCGGGTAACCTGCTCGACGAGTTCTGCGGAGGCACGCGAACGTCGTCGAGGTCGCGATGGCGAGGGCGACTGCGGGCTGGTATCCCGAAGTCGATGTGGCTCGTCAGGCGCAGACAACAGCCGACGGATGCCCAACGAGGCAAGTCGGGCCAATCGTCTGCGCGCACCTGCGAGCGTGTGCACTGCTGTGTTCTACGGGGCAACGCTGGACAGCCGCTCCTATGCAGCGTTGGCACGCCGTCGACCTGCGCTGTAGGCAGGTCGCCTTTCCGCAGTGCTGGCGCGGCTCCTCTACGCAACGCTGGCAGGCGGTCGACCAAGCTGTGCTGGCGGTCGACCAGACTAGCTGCAGGGTTGCTAGGTGCCTGATGTAGTCATTGTTGCCATCTCTTGTTCAATCATTATGAAATTCCAACTTTGCTAGTGGAAAATCTTGCCGATTTCTCCCGTGAATGTGCAAGCACTAAGGAACCAAGCAAAGCTACGATCACTCCTAGTAGTTCGTGCCAACCCCCGTAGTCTAGCTCACTACCGTTGTAGAGTGAATCTCCGCAATTATGCTATTACTAGCTTATGTTTTATTTATCATGCATAGATATGTTTGATTTCCTAGGTTAGGTGCATTCCTATATGTTATTATAGTTATAGCCCCGAACCAGGTTACGTGTACCGAACTCAAGCCTTTCCGGTTCCCAACGAATTGCTTTCTACCGAGTTCGTGAAGGTTCTGTTCGGGACGCTTCGTGACCCTCAGAACATTCGCGTAACACCTGGGTTACCTGCCTTGTGTCGAGCCTATATATAGCCTCACCTTGTACCCAGGTGAATCATTCAATAGATTTATCTTTCCTGAACCAGATCCTCACACTGGCGCTGACCTGGCCCCGAAACTTGCTGCTGCCGCTGCTGCTGCGAGGGCTGCTGCGAGGGGAGGGGCTGCTGCTGCTGCAGCTGCTGCTGCCGCTGGACCAGGCACCACGCCGCTGCTCCAGCCGCCGCGGCCGACAGACCAGAAGGTGGCTGACGAGCCCGGGTGTCGCCTCCACCAGCTGCAGTAGGGGAGTTACTGGCCGCTGCACGAGACGCCTCTCCAGGCCCTGCGCTCCCTCTGCCACCAGTCGGCACGCCACCCCCGCCACCTCCGCCGCCAATGCCTCCACCGCCGCCACCACCTGTACCCTGACCGCCCCTCTTGCCACCTCTACCTCGAGACTGCGAAGAAGTCGTAACAGCAGCTGCGGTCACGTCAGTAGCAGCATTGGCGAGAGAGGCTGTAAAGATGGGCAGTTGAGGGACAGTGCACCCGTGGAACAGTGGAGGGGGCACAGCACCAGAGGCGGAGGCTACGGAGCGGAGGTTGCTCTCGACGTCCTTGAGCGCAGACTCAAGGACCTCGATAGTGAGCTCACTAGGGTGCTTCAGAAGAAGCGTGTCACGGACCGAGGCAAGGCGGTCAGGGAGGCTAGTGGCGATGAAATAGATAGTAATCGCCATGGGGGGAGGAAGCAGTGCAAGTTGTGCCTCAGTGCAAGCAGCGCGGTAGCTAGAATCAAGCGAGCGGAGGTGAGCAATCAAGTCAGCAGAGCGCTCAAAAGAGGCGAGGTCAGGGAACAGGAACGGTAGGAAGAGTCGGCCAAGAGAGACAGTGGTGGGAGTAGCGTAGCGGGCCTTAATCGCAGTCAGGAACTCACTAGCAGTGCGAACCTGAGTGAAGTGGGCCTCCTCAGGCTCAGGGAGGAGGCTGCTAAGAGCGATGCAGGCCGCAGCGTCACGCGACTTCCACGCCGTCAGGTCAGCACGCTGGCGGGTAAAGCGGTCCCTGGCTGCGTCGTCAGGGGCGGTGCCTAAAGGCGTAGGGTCGTCGGGCGCTGGAAGGTCACTAGTAGCGTGCGCCCAAATGGACTCGCCCGCTTGAACCTGACTCTCTAAAAGGCGACGCGCGACGAGTCCGAGTAACCTGTGAGTGTAACTGGCTGCTTCCCTCCAAGGACAAGTCCCATGCCTGATGTACTCGCCACATACTTCGCCACCCTCTTAGCAGCGTACCAGTGGGACGGTCGGTGAATCCCAGGCACAACAAAGCGCGCAAGGATGCTAAGAGGGTAAGCTAGGTCTGGGCGAGTACAGGTCATCAGGTACATGAGACAACCCACCAGCTCAGGATATGGACCACTGGACTCAAATGACTCGTCCGAAGGTGGAGCCGTGAGCCCATGATCCACACCAAGAGGGGTGAGCTGTACCTTGGAGAACGGGAAGCGAAACCGCGTGAGGATCTGCTCGAACATATGCGACTGAGTCAGCGTAATGGTACGAGCTGCCCTGTCCCTGGTGATCTGCAGGCCAAGGTAGTGCTGCAGCTCACCAAGGTCAGTGCAAGTGTGTCTCCTCTGCAGTTCCTCCTTCACGGAGGCCAGCGCGCGTCGGTCGAGAGTGGCAAACACCAGGTCGTCGACGTAGACCAAGACAAAGAACGGGGTCGAGCAACGGCGAACGAACAGTGACGGGTCAGCAGACGACGGAAAGAAGTCAAGCGCTGCAAGGGTCGAGCGAAGTGTGTTGTGCCACTCACGTGGAGCCTGACGCAGGCCGTAGACTGGTCGACGCAGCTGCCACTGGGTCCCAGGTGGGAAAGAGCCAGTGAAGCCAGGCGGGCGACGCAGCCAGATCTGCTCGTGCAGGCTCCCCTGAAGGAACGCGGTGGAGAAGTCCAAGGAGTGCAACTCGTAGTCGCGCTGGGCTGCAATATGCAGCAACACCCGAAGAGTACTCATCTTCGGGGTGGGAGCGAAGGTCTGGAAGAAGTCCACCCCCTCTCGCTGACTGAAGCCTCTCGCCACATAGCGCGCCTTGAACACAGGTGGTGATCCAGGCGGCCGCTTCACCTTGTAGAGCCATCGGCCACTGACGACGTTCGTCCCAGGTGGTGGGACTGCGTCGAGGTAAGTGCCTGTGGACCTATAAGATGCCATCTCTGCCTCCTCAGCTGCTATCCAGTACGAAGCCCAGGGTCCCGAGACCGCCTCGGCGTGAGTGCGAGGGATCGGGATGTCAAGAGCGTCTGGATCCCCCTCAGGGGCAAGCAACATGGCGCAGAGATGAGGAACAGCGGCCGCAAGAAAACCAAGCTCGAACTGCCTGTCCTCGAGGACCTCTAGGGGAAAAACAGGAGCACCCCCAGAGAACGGAGAACGAGCAGGGCCACTCACCAAGTGAGCGGCGTAGTCAAGGCGGTGGGAAGAGGCAAAGCCAGCGACAGTGGTAACAAGTGCCGAAACAGACGACAGAGGTGCAGTCGGGTGAGTGACCAACGCGGACAAAACACGGGAGACGACAGGACGGGAGGCACGGAGGTAGTCGGACAACGGGTCGTGAAGCACAGTGAGGAACGACTCAGGGGGCTGTGGAAGGACAGGAGGAGGTGGAACACGAGAGCGAAGAACAAGGTGGAACGGACCGTCTGCACGGTAACGGGACTGACGACGCTCTGGGGACACAGCACGACTGAGGGGAGAACGACGAGTCCACTGGGAGGAGGAAAGGGACTCAACAGGGGGAACAAGAGGGGACGGTAGGGGACCACGAACAAAGCGCGCTGGTGCTGGGTCGGGGAGGTCGTGTAGTCGCAATCGCTGCTGCTCCGCCTCCTCTGGCGTCTGCTGCGACGGCACCGGCCCCTGCTGCTACTCCTGTGGCTCCGCCTCTGCCCTCTCCTGCTGCGACTGCAGCTGCACCCGCTGCTGCGAGCGGGACTCCTGCGCTACCCTCTCCTGCTGCGGTCGTGACTCCTCCTATACTCTCTCCTGCTGGGTCTGTAACTGCACCTGCTGCTGCGGGCTGGACTCCTGCTCTACCCTCTCCTGGTGCGGCCGTGACTCCTCCTCTACCCTCTCCTGCTGCGGCTGCAGCTGCACCCGCTGCTGCGACCGGGACTCCTGCTCTACCCTGTCGTGCTGCTGCTGTGACTCCTCCTCTACTCTCCCCTGCTGCTGTAGCTGCTGCTGC